GCAGCTCAAAGACAACACAGAAGGCAATTTCCCTGATGTTTTCCCTCAGCTTCTGAGGAGAGATTAATTGCCACCATCAGCCGCCCGGAGGCATTTATTAGGAAAGGACAAATCAGCATGAACGAGATGTGGGATGATAAGACGGTGGGTGGGTTTTCTTTTCCTTCCATTTTAGGAGAGGCCAGGTGTGGAAGGCAGGCAGGCAGGCCCGTACTAGAGCTGCTCTCTGACCTCTGACCGGTGGCAGGGGGCAAGGGGAGGGGGCACTTACAGAACCTGGTCCCCGGCCGCTGACCCCGGGCAGCTCAGCTCCTTGTGAATGAGACGAATCAGGAACTGCAACCGGAACAAAGACCAAAGACAGAAGCCGTTACTGCGGGCAGGGACCCTGCATCAGTGCTCTCGGAAGCTCACTTGGGGGCGGCTGTGTGGGCCCCACATCACACGCTGGGGTGCCCCGGGCCCCAGGGCAGGGCTGTGGGCCTGTGAGCCGCACGGAGGCCGTGCTCCTGGAGGTAAGGACAGGTTTCAGCCTAAAACGTCTGTTGCAAATGAAACGAGTCCAATCATAAAATACCCAGATTAGGGAAAGAGAATGTAGACCAGGTGACCCACGATCGCGGTGACTCTGGGTGGGGGCCCTGGAGAGCCGCACGGGGGACTCTGAAGGCCAGGTGAGCATCTCATGGGCCCCGGCACCCAGAGGCGGACCAGGCTCACGTTTGGAGCAGCCGCGTTTTCTTAGGAAACTCCTGGGAGAGCGCTGGGCCCCGCCGGGCCCCTCGCCCACAGCCTCCACAGCTGCCGTGGGAGTAAACCAGGGACAGAGTTCTGCCCCGTACGCGCCCACAGGGCTGGGTCCGTTTACGGAGACAGACCGGTGACCTGGTGCCACACCAGCTAACTGGTTCTGCCTGTGTCTGTGGCTTCGGACCAGGTCTTTCCGCAAGCTGACCCCAGCCCCACAGGAGGGCCCCTTCCAAGGCCCAGAAGGACCACTGGGCCGAGAGAGGGCCAACGTGGCCTCAGGTCAGAGCTCCAGGAAGCAGGGGAGCCTTCAGCGCTCGTGGTTCAAGCAGAAGCTCTGAAGAGAAGTGGCCGGTGAGGAGAACAGGGGTGACTCCTTCCGAGAAAGCACAGTCCGGCTGCCGTGCCTGACCCTCGATTGGTGCGCATACGGTCACAGGGGTAAAGCAGGGAACGTGTCAGGGGCCGAGCGTGGGGCTGGCGGTGAGGGGGACGTTCCTGTGGACCAAGCGGACCCTGGCAACGTAAGCCTCCAGCAGCTCAGCATGGGCCTGCTCGCCTGGAGCTGGGCACCTGGTCGACACACGTCCCGCCGAATGTGCCGTGTTGAGCGTTCGCAGAAGACCCGCCATCATCCAAAGCAGATCCCGGACACAAAGGGAAAAGGGAAGGAAATGATGAGTGTTTAAGGTGGCATGAAACACTGCAGACAGTAGTAACGAACCTGAAGGACAAAGGTCACACTCTTGCGGGGAGGGGGGAGAGGTGGGGGGAGGACCTGGGCGGCTCAGTCGGTGAAGCATCCGATTTCGGCTCAGGTCACGATCTCATGGTTCGTGAGTTCGAGCCCTCCATCGGGCTCTGTGCTGATAGCTCAGATCCTGGAAACTGCTTCGGCTTCTGTGTCTCCCTCTCTCCCTGCCCCTCCCCTGCTTGTGCTCTGTTTCTCTCTCTCTCTCTCAAAAGTAAAGATTAAAAAAAAATTTTTTTTA